CCCTAATATACTAGTGAACCATTTAAAACGTTTTTCGCCATCGGAGAATTTTTATGGAAAAATAAACGTCGCCATTGACTTTCCTCTAGAAGATTTAGATATGGGTGATTATGCAGCCAATAATGAAGTCTCGTGTCGATATAATCTATATGCTGTATCTAATCATAGTGGACAACATTGTCTGGACACTATACTATACAGCGATTCTGAAGCAAGAAGCAAAAAAAGGTCAAATTTAGATGGAGTGTTGTCGACTGAAATCGATGGCATAATGAGTTGGTTTCCTCGAAGATAACCTTGAAAGCGAAGGATAGAATCAACAATGTGAAATCCCAGGACAGTAATGTAGTTGAATATAAGAGTACCGCTCTGAATAATCGAGGAAGGGTCGAAAGGCTCACTAGAGATTGAAAAAATACAAGAAATGGTAGCAAACTTCCTGAAAAACTGCATTTTTTCACTGAGATCATCCTTCATATCATTTTTCATAATACATATGAGATGTCAGTGCTACAACACATTCATCGTTCGAATTTCCACCAAACAAGACTGTCAATTTTCGAAAAAGTATCAGGTTGTCTTCCAAGGAATGTTCGAACGGAGCAATGGTGAATTAAAACATTTCACAGACTGAGGCGCAATATATTCCAGCACCTTCTTCATACAGACAAGGAACAATTCCTTGAGAATTTCAAAAATTTATTAAAATATATAATTCTTGTCAAATGACAATTATTTTTTCTTTCAACTTATTTTGTCCAGAAGTCATTTTGATGTCATACATCAGATTCATAAAGAAATCTCGTACAAAAAAAAATAAAGAAAACATATGGTGCTATATATGGTGCCATTTAAAAAAAAAAGTTGACAGTAGCTGACACAACAGTTGAAATTTGAAGAGATAATGATCAGAGCCTACTCATAGTATATCTGATGAGCAGTTTCATTTTCTTTTTCATTTGTCAAAATCGGATAATCAATAGTGACGCTGGAGCTTGGGATGTTTTCATCTCAGTAAGCCTAAATGTATACTAGTATAGGTATACTATCTATCCATCAGCAGAAAAGTCTGTCAGTTTGACATAAAATAATTTTATAGCTGTAGATGGCAAGATGAATCGCTTAGGTTATATGGCCAGGAGCGTCATTTCAGTGAATACCAGGGTAAAGAAACTCGGAAAAAATGTACGTACGGTGGAAATGTGCCGCAGGCGAAACATTGTTTGGAGTCAAGGTCAAATAATGCCTTCAGAATTAAAAGGAGGTTTTTACCAAAGTGATAACGATTCCATTTCAGTGTATACCAAGGGGGTGGGGTCAAGAAACTCAAACAGCGTCTTTGTAAGATAGAAAATTCGTCGCAGGCGAAATTTTTGCTGGAATTTAAATCCAATGCCTCCAAATTGAAAATTAGATTTCGTCTAGAGTAACAACAACTCCACCACAAAATTATATTAAAAATCATTCAGTTTCATTTTCTCAGTTTGTTTTAATTTGTAATTGATATAAAATGATTTGAAAATAATAACAATAAGAAGAGCAAGTGAAAAGTATTTTCTTGTGGTGTTGCTTGGCAACACAATTTTGAGAAAAATGATGTGACATAATTATGCCGAAGATTCAGAACATCGTGATATTACTGTTGATAATTTTTTATACAATTCACCACAAAGAAGGATTTTTCCGGGGATTTTTCTCCACTTTCGTTGCAAATGCATATAGTAAGGAAGAAGGAAAATGAGCCGTCTATAATAATCTGTAACATTGGATTGGTTCAACTTCTTCTCATTAATTGCACTTTTTTACTCTTTTGATCTCAATGACAATAAAAAGGATGCATCCTGCATCAAGTGTTCCTCTTTCTTTCAGCAACCTACGGTTTTGAGCACCTGATTTCTTTTCATTTTCGTTCTCTGTTGATGTTGAATTTCGAGAATGAAAAGTATTGATTTATGTTCGGTGTCGGCTCGCACATTCTTTAGATAGATAATAGATAGCACTTTATTTTCAACAGGTAGACACGCAATTACAGAAAAATGTTAAAACCATTGCTATTTACTCTGACAACCAAGCACCATTCATTGAAGGTGATTGACTCACTAGAAGTCAAATCAAAACTAGTGAAAGATCATCATCATTTATATTGGTGGTTGTTTTATGCAAGCTCTTATTTCAAAAAGGTTCATTGTTTATAAGTTATAGTTAGTTATTGAGGTTCTCACATCACGAGACTAAAGGGGAGCAATATAATGGGGAAGGTTCCAATATTGAAATTTTTATTTCACTGTGGAGTATGTAAAAATTTTATATATATTGTTACGACCCTGGCGATCAATCCCAGCTACCTGCTACAGAAGTAAATAAACCGTATTTCTTGGAATAGAAATCGACGGCTATTGAGATGACTCGAGAAGATTATCGACCTGTTCACGATATTTCGAGTGGAATCTAGACGTTTTATTAGGTAGTATAAATAGTTGTTGTTAGGGACAGGAAGAAAAGTCTTTATTTGGAAGCGTTATAATAACGATCGAAGAAGTGTTGTGAATCGGAAGTGTTTAGTACGAGTATTGTAATTATTGTATAGTAGTGTTCAGAATAAATTATTTTAAGTGTTATACCGAGTGTTAAATTATTACGGACCCAGAGTAAAATCGTAACAATATGTATTTTTTCTTTTTTTCGTAAGATCAAATTACACTTCAGAAAAAATAAATGAAAAAGAAACTTAGTTCCTTCACTATTCTTATGACGTACACATTCACACAGAGTTAAAATACGTCGTTGACGGCATCATCAATATGTCTAGATTTGCGGAAATTGTTCTTTGAATAAATTATCTCATAACAGCTGGGATATAGTAGGTTTTCCAATCGAGCATCATGAATAATTTTCATGAATCTATATTTGCTGGATGAAGTTGATTACTAATAATGATAAATTATGATATTTTGCAATAGTATCTATAATTTTCCACTTCTGTTATATTACGAAATGTTAATCATAATGTGTTCCTTTATCTGATTTCGTAGTTATGTATGTTTTACTTGTGTCGATTTTTGATCTCCAGTTAGCCTATGTCTACAGTTTGTTTTGTTAGTTTTTTTTATCGCTTGGAGCGCACAAAAGGGAATCCCTATAATGTTCAAAGAACATCGTGCGTTCCTAGGGAGGACAGGGATAGAAGGTGGGTATTGGAATTTTTTTTGAACTTCTGGAGATTATATGTTGTTGGGAATACTTCCTCAGGCAATGAATTCCAGAGCCTAACCGTTCTATGGATGAAGGAGTTTTGATAAAGTGCTGTTCGACATCTTTCGAGGTTGACAACGAAAGGATGTGCTGACTGGGCTTGTCTTGTTCATCTGACTGGTATTGCTAGTGAAGGGATGATAGCAGAGATTTCCGAAGAACATTTCCCGTGGAAGTATCGGTAGAAAAGTGAAAGGTCGCCGACCTTTCTACGGTGATCCAATGATGCCAAAGAGTCAGTGAGTGTGGCGTCACCCACCAGGAGGCGGATGGCTCTTCTCTGGATGGAATCTAAGAGCATCAGCGTATGTTTTGGTGCTGAACCCCATATGTGGGAACAGTAATCTAGAACAGGCCGTATCTGCGCTTTGTAGATCATGAGAAGCTGTTGAGGTGTAAAGTAGCTTTTCGCACGAAACAAGAATCCGAAATCCGAGTTTTTGTGAAGCAGCTTTTGCAATGGATCTGACATGATTATCCCATGAAAGAGTGTTGCTGATGGAAATACCGAGCATAGATATGGTGGGCATTGTTGAGGATGGTGGTGCCAGACATTACAATGTCGGGCATACTGAGTTCCGCCTTTCTAGAGAAAATACAGGCTTGAGTTTTGGTGGCGTTGAATTCAACTAGGTTGTTGGTTCCCCAGGCTGTGATTTCAGCGGGGTCTACATTGACAGCATTGACCTGCCTGCGCCGTGAGTTCTCAGTTTCCTGGGAAGAAATGGGAATTCTGGAAGAGAACGCAGTATGGAGGGTACTATCATCTGCAAAGCTGTGGATGGGGCAAGTTGTTACTCCCAACAGATCATTGATATGAAAAAGGAATAATGTTGGTGCCAAAATTGATCCTTGTGGAACGCCGGAATTGATGCCAATGGCATCAGACGATACACCGTCCACCACCACATGAAGCGATCTGCCTGAAAGAAAACTCGATAAGAGATGGCATAGCTGAGGTGGTAAGCCGTATGATGGTAGTTTGTGGAGGAGTCCTTCGTGCCAAACACGGTTAAATGCTGTCGATGTGCCAAACACGGTTAAATGCTGTCGATATGTCCAACGCGACAGCTAGAGATTCCCCGTGTTTTACTAATGAAGTTCGCCATAAATGGGTGACATAGGCAAGTAGATCTCCAGTAGATCTTCGGTGGCGAAAGCCGTATTGTCTATCATTGATAATTCCTGAGCTCTCCAGATATTTGAAAGCTCAATATTGATGGCTTTCTCCATCACTTTGGAGATTACTGATAACAGGGCAATGGGCCTGTAGTTGTTGGGCACGTTCTTGTTCCCTTTTTTGGGGATTGGTTGGACTTTAGCTGTCTTCCAGCATGATGGAAAAATACCCCACCTGTACGAGACGATAAACAACTTGCAGAGAATCGGTGTTAATTCTGGTGCACATTTTTTGAGGATAATGGGTGGAATTCCATCAGGACCGTTAGTCTTCTTCTTATATTTTTTTAATCGAGGCCAGGAAAACAATATAGTAGGAATACAGAATAAAAAGAAAAACACAAAATGAATAGAGATGTTTCTGAAGTATGACAGCTTGACGAATTCCAATATACAGTACCCCAGCTACACTGGTGGCACTCGGAATACCTTAGGGGTATCGATAGGAGATTTGGATTCTGCATTTTGTTCATTCTTGTGGCATTGCATGGCAAAATTACATAATCCCAATCAACTTTTTCAAAACTTTGTCGACAGTTCGACTGCAAATTGAAATAAATTATACTCACCATTCATTAGAAAATGTATTTTGTCTTCCTGTTGGTACCTCTTGATCTAACTCTTCGTCAAAGTGAAAATCGAGTTCTTCCCGTTCATATGACTTTGTCTTGGACTCCTTTTTCACTCGATTCTCCTTGTTTTTTCTCTTGACCTGCCTCCAGTTTTCATCTTCTTCTCTTTTGTCCTCATTACTAGAATTGCCATTGGATGTCTGGTTGTCATCAGATGATCCATTACCGTTCACCATATTGTTATTGAATTTCTTTTTCGGATCTGCTGAAGACAGTTGAATTCAGTATCATATAATGTGCATCAATGATTATGTACAGTGAGGGGCAAAATTATGGAAAAAATTGACTTTAAAAAATTTGTCCAGATTCATCTCCTGGTAAATAATTATCTGACTCTCATAGTGCCTCAGGTTTATCACAGGTTAATGGTATCCCTAATAATAATTACGTATTGGTGGACCTTATTTTTTCTCATATACCTCATCTTTTAATATCTGATGCAGTAGACTTATTAACTAACCTAAATTACCACCATAATGCATATTGCTTTATTCCGTCAATCCATAACGAGGACATTTACCTAAAATATGACAATTACTATCTTGATTTTTAGAGATGTAATGCAGTTGGTATTAATGATTATTTGTGAATGATATACCGGGAGTTTGGTTCACCGACGTATACTATGATACAAAGTGTTACACTTTTCGAGAAATCACCGCTTATATGTTCGAAGTTGAATGTTACAAAAATCTTTTTTTTTTTTTCAAACGAGCGAAAACATTTTTTCATCACAATTAGATACCGTTTCGTGTTCAATATCGATGAAATACATATTCGATTTCTTAAGAAAAAAGGGAATCAATCATATAACATGATTGAATTAAACACAACGACTCAACATCACACAACATTCCTATAAAATCTGGTATGCCCCAAGGAAGTGTGTTAGGGCCGATCCTCTACCTCCTGTATACCAATGACCTGCCTGAAACAGAGAACACAAGGACTGCCGCCTTTGCAGATGATATCGCTATTCTTTCTGTAAATAGAAATCCAGCCACATCCTAGGTAAACATGCAAACTCATCTGAACCAGTTGAATGCTTGGTATAGAATATGGAGAATTAAAATCAACCAAACCAAATCACTCTCACTCCAAGTACTTAACGTTCACTACGTGCCATAATAACTGCCCACCAGTCACCATTGATGGAGTGCCAGTTCCAGTCAAAAGCAATGTGAAGTATTTGGGACTTCACCTAGATCAAAGATTAGCATGGAAAAAACATGTACAACCGAAAAGAAGGCAACCAGGCATCAAATTCAAACTAATATACTTGCTAATAGAGCGTAAATCCAAGCTATCGACCAAAAACAAGCTGATGCTTTGAAAAGTAATGTTGAAACCTTGATGGACATACGGTGTGCAACTATGGGGTTGCGCAAAGCCAACTAGTGAAAACCATAGAAATATTCCAGTGGAAAACCCTTTGATCCATTGTTAATGCTTCCTGGTATATTAGCAATCAAACTCCCCATGAGGACCTCCATGTCACAGAAGTAATTAAAACAGTTTCCACCAACTACCAAACGAGACTAACAGGCCATCCAAATCAAACAGAAAACCTGTAGAGGGTCATTCTTCAACATAAATAATAGTGATAAGTGTTCTATAAGTGAAAATGCCAAAGGGCATCTCACTTCCAAGAACAAACTTTCATATCATTTACTAAATACTCTGTGTTTAAGTAGATTGTAAGAAAGCAGTACATTGAAAGATATATATTTCACTAGAAACACAGATTTGTTTGTTACAAAAACTCACAGAACTATGGGTTCTTCAGTCCTTTCTCGCGCAATTCGCGTAATTTCAATGTATTTAATATTTACCTGTTCGCCCATTCTTTAGCCATATTTAAAAAAAATTAAAATTGATCCTTTTAGCAATTGATCTCACGTGATTTTCCCAAGAAAGGTTATTGTTGATAGTAATACCAAGCATCGAATTGGATGTCTTCAAATGTATGGTTACTCCTGAGAAGCTTATGTTGGGCTTATGTGAGATCGGCTTTTCTAGAGAAAAGGCATGCTTGTGTTTTGTTTGCATTGAACTCTACCAAGTTATTGGATCCCCATCCGAGAATTGTTGCCAAGTCCATATTTATGTTGTCAATATTTCTCCCTCGTTCGTTTCTGAATTGCCTGGTTGGTATTGGAGCCCTGGAAGAGAAGGCGGTATGGAGGGTACTATCATCCGCAAAGCTGTGCACTGGACATGAAGTTGCTTCCAACCATACGTTGATATGGAGTAGAAATAGTTTTGGTGCTAGAATTGATACTTGTGGAACACCAGCATTTATATATATTTTTATATTAATAAGAGAGTCAGATGAAACTCCGTCGACCACTACATGGAGGGACCTGTCTGAGAGAAAACTAGCTAGCAGAGAACATAGCTGGGGAGGCAAGCCACAAGATGGAAGCTTGGCGAGGAGTCCGTGATGCCAGACTCGATCGAATGCCTTGGAGATATCAAGTGCCACGGCTAAGGTTTCACCATATTTTTCAATAGATTGCTGCCATATATGTGAGACGTAAGCGAGCAGGTCACCAGTGGATCTCTGATGACGGAAACCATATTGCCTTTTGTTGATAATACCTGAATGTGATTTATTTACAACTGAGTTTCATTACCTTGCACCAGAAGTGGCGAAAAAAAACCTACAGGATAGCTGGAAAGCGGAAACGTCGTTGTTCGTCTAGTTCAGTAGCGAGTACTACGAGTTATCACAAGGATACCGATACAGAGTTCTCAAATCGCATTTGTGATATTCATATAAAAGTTCCTGTGGGAGAAGTGATTCTGCCAACTTCAACTACAACGCAGCGAGGTATTCCCGAATTCGACCCTTCAACCGATAATGGCAGCAAGTGCCTTGAAATAGTGGAACATAATTCACATATTTATGGCTGGAACACAGAAGACACAATATACCAAGCAGTGAGTAAACTGAAAGGCACAGCTAAGATATGGTATAATAGGTTAGTAATAAATTACATTGGTTGGTGTCAATATACGTGGGAACATTGGAAACAAAGGATTTCTGAAACATTATAAAGCAGATGTGATATGTATTCTTTGCTCAGAGATTCGATGAATTTCAAACCCAACAACGGTACTTCCATATATGAGTTTTTCTTTCTTTATATGTCAAAGATTCGAAATTTAGGCCAGAATTTTTTATGGAGAATATAAAATTTCGTTGATTTTAGGAGCAATTGATGATAAAAATATTTCTGTTGCTGCAGAGGTAATCAGAAATGTTAATGACTGGATACCTATTTTAGGAATAAAAACAACTTTTTATAAAAAACATAAGGCAAGAATATCAGACAATAAGGACTAAAAACCAGGGCCTAGTAGATATCCTACTTTCAGAAACTATTAATAGTCAAATATATAGGGAATGTGTTCGTGTGAAAGTAATAGCCACACAACAGAAACATGCCCTCATGAGCATAACATTCGTAGATTTTGTGGAAAAAAGGGTCACATTGAATCAACTTATCTCAAGATGATCATGTATGATCCATCGCAAAAGCTGCGTCACAAAAAACTCAGTTTCTTGATCTGTGCAAAAATCTGCTTTACACCACAACAGCTTCTCATGACCTACGTACAAAGCCCATATACGGCCAGTTTTAGAATACTGTTATCATGTACGGAGTTCAGCACCCAAACATACGCTGAAGCTCTCAGATTTCATCCAGAGAAGAGCCATTCGCCTGGTGGGTGATGCTACACTCACCAACTCTTTGACCCCATTAGAACACCGTAGAAAAGTCGGCTACCTTCCACTTTTCTATAGATAATTCCAAGGAAAATGTTTTTCAGAAATCTATGCTATAATTCCATCACTAGCAATACCAGTCAGACGAACTCAACAGGTCCAGTCAGCACATCCCTTCGTCGTTACCCTTGGAGAATGTGGAACAAAACCCTACTAAACTCGTTTGTTTATAGAACGGTGAAGCTTCGGAATTCTTTGCCAATGGAAGTATCACCAAGAACTTATAACCTCCTCAAAAAAATTTCAACACCTACCTTCTCCCTGTCCTCCTGCGATGTTCCACGAACATTATAGGAATTTCCTTTCGTGCGCTCCAAGAAATAAAAAAAAGCAAGCAAGGTCCCCTATCATATTCTGTTAATGATTAGGAAATACGACCCAAAAAAGTTTTACATGGAAGTGCAAATAATTGGAAAAGTGACACAAGCGTTCATTGATTTTGGAAGTAACTGTTCACTCATTAAAATACATTCAACATTCAACTGGAATTATTGGTCGTACAGAAATTAGAAAATCCAGTTCATCTGTTTGAATTTGCAGGTCACTCTATTATTATTTTTGATTAAGTATATTACTACTGAAATATCAATTGGCAGGTGTTTATTAGTTACACAAATGTATTTTACTGATCACAACTTGAGAGATACTGAAATAATAATCGGACGAAATTTCACTGAAAATGAATCAATTTCATACCTTAGTAATGAGGATGAGTTAATTTTTATTCAGACTAATACATCCAAAAATATTAACGTCATCAATGGCGGTATCATTCCAATAACAAATGATGCGTGAATTCAATTTAAATGTGCATATAATTGAACTATAGTAGTGACATTACATGAATGCATCAATATTTTGATAGAATATACTGTAATATTTAAAAAAAAAACACTATTTGAACACCCTACAATTTCATGGAACGTTCGAACATAGCGCCAGTACTGACGTGATAATCCCTTTTCCTGTATTGCCAGATTTTTTATTTTGAGGAAATATCAAAAAAATATTTCTCAATTTAGAATCCATCTTACTGTGAACTGATAATATAATTTGATATTCATTGATGAAGTAAAGGTCATCAATATAGTATGTATGTATGGTATAGGTTGTTTCCCTCATTTCCAATTCTTCAAGTACATAGCTGATATGATTAGTTATCGAGTAGGTTGTATGTAGCACGTTGTAGGTTTGATCAGCAGCGACGAAATATGGTCTACTACTGTTGGCAGATGTCAAGAGACCATTCTTCAGACTAATGTCGCGATCGGAGACGATCGCAAATTCCAGGATGGCCGTGGTCGTGTGATTGCTCATGTTGCACCACATCTACGAGGTAGTCTGCGCCCTGTATATTATTGGTACCCATATTGACTCTAGTCGAGTCCTACGGTTATGCACGGGTACAATCATCGGTGAAGAACGTGGACAGTTAGTCAGTCTTTGTGACGTACTCAATACAGTGTGCTTTAGTTACAACTGAATTTCATTACCTTTCACTCATTTGAAAGGTTATTCAATTATCTATTCCAGGCATGGGCAACCCACGGCCCGCGGGCCGCATGCGGCCCCAAGCAAGGATTGTCCGGCCCGCCAATGGATTTTGCTTTCCATGTAAGCATGGCCCGCCAATGACATCGGACGACCAGCCCGACACGGGAGTTTGCATTTATTATTTATTCGTTATTTCCTTCCTCCATTAATACGTACTTATATCGTAATTAAATCTTTGGTGCCCAAATTGCAGTTTTCATAATCCCTCGAAACTGACCGCAAAGGGTACCTACCTGTTTGGTGCCCGATTTGCATGCGCCCGCGGACACATATGCAATCTTCAGATTCCTAGAATGTCTAATAAATAACACTAATATTTCCGGTATCGGTAGGCGGTAGGGGGTAAGAGTGGTAGAAGGGTCTCCCGAGTGGTGCCGCATTATAGCTCATAGCTCATAGTTGGCAAGTGCAGTAATTAGATTAGTCAAGTTCTGATTGTTTTTGAAGTGTGAAAAATATGTCCGGACCTTCGAGTAGTAAATATAGAAAAGTTGACAAAGAGCATCGTACTTTCCAGGACAAGTGGACACAAGAGTATTTGTTTGTTATTTATAAGGACAAGCCAATTTGTCTGATATGTAATGAAGCTGTCGCGGTTTTGAAGGAGTACAATTTAAAAAGACATTATTCCACCAAACATTTGCAGAAATATGAAAGTTTAAAAGGGCAACTACGAAGTGACAAAATCGAAAAATTGAAAAGGAATCTAGCCAGTCAACAGAATGTTTTTATAAAACGCAGTGAAGAAGCTGAAGATATCGTTCTGGCCAGTTATATTATTAGTAGGAAAGTGGCGGAACATTCAAAGCCATTCTCAGAAGGCGAATTTGTGAAAGAGAGCTTGATAGAAGTAGCAAATATTTTGTGTCCAGAAAAAAGTAGAAAGTTCGCAGAAATAAGTTTATCCAGAAGAACAGTCACCAGACGAATAGATAGAATGGCAGAAAATATAAAAGTGAGTCTAAGTGAAGTTGTGGAGAAATGTGTTGCATTTTCCATTGCATTGGACGAAAGTACCGATCTTTCAGATACAGCGCAACTAGCAATTTTTATTCGTGCAGTCGACAAAAAATTCAAAATAACAGAAGATTTGCTCGCGCTTCGAGCCATGAAAGGTACTACAAGGGGAGAAGACATTTTTGAAGAAATTGTTGATGTTTTTGAAGCTTTCAATCTGAACTGGGCAAAGTTGAGCGGCGTCACGACAGATGGAGCTCCAGCGATGATAGGAAAAAGTGTGGGAGTGGTGGCTAAAATAAAATCAGAATTATCAAAGAAAAATATTGACATCAATTCGCTGTTCACATTTCATTGTATTATTCATCAGGAAAGTCTCTGTGCTAAGTCTTTAAAATTCACGCACATAATGGAGACAGTTGTTTCGTGTGTGAATTTCATAAAATCAAGAGGTTTGAATCACCGCCAGTTCCAGCAATTCCTGCAGGACTTGGAAACGGAATATGGAGACATAATTTTTCATTGTGAAGTTCGCTGGCTAAGTAAGGGCAAGATGTTGAAACGATTTTATGATTTGAGAGAAGAAGTGCAAACTTTCATGGATATGAAGGGCAAACCCGAACTGGTCCTACCTTTGGGAGATGATGCATGGTTATCTGACTTCGCATTTTTAGTTGATGTCACCAATTACTTGAACGAGCTTAATACGAATATGCAGAAAAAGGAGCAATTCGCCCATGAGCTATTCACCCATGTAAAATCTTTTCAAAGCAAACTTCGGTTGTGGGAAAATCAGATCCGTGTGGGAAATGCATATCATTTTCTCATCCTAGCTACTCATAAAATGTTTGATAAGAATGCCTTAGCACAGGAACTATCTTCATTGAATGCAGAATTCACATCCAGATTTGGGGATTTTCGTTCACGCGAACCACAATTTCAAATTTTCATGAACCCATTCGACGTGGACGTGGAGCAAGTGGAAATGTCGCTTCAAATGGAATTAATCGAACTCCAGGCAGATGATGTTCTGAGAGGTCAATTTCGTGAGGTTCCTCTGCAAGACTTTTAAAATATGGATGAAGATAAATATCCCAATTTAATCAATTTTATTTGTAAAATGATGTCTCTCTTCGGCAGTACTTACTGCTGTGAGCAATTTTTCTCAAAAATGAATTTCACAAAATCAAAAAATAGATCGAGGATTATTGATACTAATTTAGAAAACTCCTTACGAGTAGCAACAACATCACTTGCACCAAATATTGAACTTCTCGCGAAAGAAACACAATCTCAAGTTTCTCATTAGTTATAGTTATAGAGTTGTAGGAATATGAGCTAGATATAGATGTTATTTGTGTCATATCGTTTCTTCATTTTAGTTATTGTAATACCAACGTTTGATGAACGTGCACATCTGTACCTTTTCTGTTTTTGTATTATATAAATGATATATTGAAGATTGTTTTTGTCCTGGCCCGTGGCCCCTACTGAATTTTCCTATTTGGCCCCCTACACAAAAAGGTTGCCCATGCCTGATCTATTCAGTGATATAAACATTAACAGAATTTTTTATACACGGTGGCCAAATAATATTTCATTTTAAAATCAAATTAACTTACACAACATATAGTATATAATTCATTCAATACAAAATACGTTGTACTACTGCCAGAAAACAGAAAAAAAAAATGTAATCGACAAATAAACATTGCTTTTCGCTCTGATTAAATGAATTCATTCCATTCCAATTTGCCCCTTACTGTATATCAAGTTCAAGCAAATTATGAAAGCACATTTCTACATACTTTTTTTTTAGTTCAACCATCCCCTTCCCTTGAAATACTACAAAACCATCGCACAATTAGATTTTCTATTCATTGTTAAAGAAGCTTAACCAGAGGCAAGAATAAAAGTCATTTAGTCATTGAATTTACAGATGTTTGCTGAAAGTTTCGGATGAGCTGGTCAACATTTTGAGTGTTTCCAAGATGACACTCGTCACATCCACGGTGGAAGTATTCATGGCAATTGAGTTACTGTATACTTGGTGCAGAAGAAAACGGTCCACTAACAAAAAAATATGCTTGGGAAGATACTTGGGTAAGACAAGTTATCACTTACCTATATCTTGAGGAATGAATTCGGCAACATCAGGATTCAAGTTTTCTATCTGACGGTCTCTTAGCGTTTTCGGCAACGGAGGTGGTGGTACCAACTTTGATATCATTTCTTCCTTCAACTCGTTTGCTTCATCTAGAATGGGCCATTGCAGTGGATCTTTCTTTGGCCGTACCTTGAAGCCAGCTGTCAATTCGAGTTTATCAGAGGAACTGATAGCTTCGACAATCAACGCAACATTGTTTGTCAAAGCTTGAACTCGATGGAAAGAAGCAATTAGAGTGACAGGTAAGTAGCCTTCTGCATCCATTTTTCTTCTCAAGAAGAAGTCTCTGTTGAGGTTATCCTCACTAAAGTAGTATTCACTGAAAAGAAACGAAATAACGATACATCTTAAAATGTCATTAAATGTTTAGATTTGAATTACATTTGGTTCCTGATATATTCTTTAACAGTTGGTCCGTCTAAACTGAGGTAGCTATTACTGTTGAAATAATAAGTGCCCATATATGGCACAAAGCCTTGTCCATCCATCATTTCACCAAGTTTTCCACGCTGAAATAAAAAAAATGAGAATTCAAGGAAGGAAAATTCAAGAATACAGTGGAGTACAGTAAAGACTAACAAATTATATACAAACACATATATACAGGGTATTTTTTGAATCGGAGAGATTAATGAAGTTAATGAAATATGAAAAAACAAAATTTTTACAAAACTAAATATTTCGGATGATGATCAATTATACAGGGTGAGTCAGAATGAGACCGACAAAATTGGTATATGGATTCCAAACCAAATTTTGAAGTGAAAAGTTCCTATCAACGTATCGAGATATAGGGTATCAAAAGTACAAGAAAAATTAAGGTTTGTATTAATTTCTTCGGAACCCCTGTAGGAAGAAAAACATACTTGGTATTCTATTCCAGAATAATCAAGGTTATTACTAGGAGTTTACATTTTTGAATATTGTGAACCAGTGGCGTAGTTACGGTCATAAGCCGCCATATTTTTCTTCATAATTGCATGTTGATAAAAACTTTTCACTTAAACACGAGGTTAGGATTCCGTATACGAAGTATTCGGTCTTATTCTGACTCACTCTGTATGATTCGCGTAGAACAATAATTATAATTGATTCGATCTTCCAGTTTGCTTTCGTCTTGGTCAGAAGCACCGGAAGCAGAAATGACTTTGGCAAACGTTCATTTGAAAGTAATCATAATATGTCAAGAAATGGTTCCACTTATCATACCATCTTTTAACAATTATTGAACGGGCACATTTACCAAAGTTATTAGACTCTGTTTCCCTTTCAAGAGAACATTATGACAAATAATAACATAATTGAATTTTGAGAAGAATCAGTTACAAAAAGTCAAGGAACCATGCCTACCATAGTCAACAACAATCAGAAACCATCCAAAATATTTTTAGATTCCATTTATCAATTCAGCCTCAAACCAAATTTCAAAATATATCTCTACAAAAAATAACAATTTCAAAATCTCTTTCAAAAATTCGAATTGCTTGGGTTCATTGCTAACCAGCACATATAAAATTTTCTTGATGAAAGTGGAATATATAAATTAGCATGTTCAGACTGCAACAGTACTTATATGGGTAAGACTTCTAGAAAAAAATTAACAAGGGCTCGTGAACATATCAACAGACCTAACTCTTCAAGTTTTGGTGAACATTAGAAGTCAGGTAATCATAATTTCGATTTTGAAACAAATATAAATTTATTGCATAATGTCAGAGGAAACAATCTTTATCTGGACTTCCTTGAAGGTATTGAGATAACAAAAGAGATGCTTCAAACCAATTTTCAAATCTCCTAAGACAAATCGATTCCGGTCCAATAACTAATTCATTGAATTTTGAATTGACTCGGCCGTTACTTGATGGAAGTCCATGACAAATATAAAAACTTCACAAACGATAAGATTTACACAAAATTCTCAAACACACGACATGTTTCGCTAACACAGTAGCTTCGTCAGGTGATATACTGGTACAATGAACTAAACTGACGTTAGTTTAATCTTATCGTTTGTGAAGTATTTACATAATTCATTGAAATATTCCCTCAACTAAAACATTTTTTTTTTTTTAATTCTCTATATTGCTTATCTGTGTTGTGCCATTATACATCAATAAATTATAATAATCGTTTTATATATATAATAAAACACTCCAATTGTAATTTATTCATTCGATTTGCAGTTATCTTTCCTGATCTGACAACAATGTCAATTATTCGTTTTGTTAGTAGAAGAGATAGGATGTCTCGTAACGTCCAACCAATCAGCGGCCAGCGCGGGATAGCGTCATCCAAAGTGCCCATTTCAAATCGTGAACTTGAAGACCTTGTATGTTGTGTTTGATATACCCAACCCTGATCACTAATTACGATGCCATTATGAACAGAGATATATCTCAAAGCCTATAATTTCAATATTTGTCAAATTTAACCATTTATATCAGTAACAAAAAAACAACAACAATTAAAAAAATCATAATATAAAAGAAGTCTTTTGAGGATACAAGTATATTAGAACATTTTTGTGAGTTCCAGTTTTGAACCAATAATTCGTATAAAGGGGTATTGAGGATTTTGTGAAATATCAATAAACATTTATTTCCCTCTTCAGAAACATAACAGAGGTGAAATATAAATAGAAATTTCGAATAGGTGGGTATACCTATACAGGGAGTCATAACTATTGGGACATCGGGCGGATTGTTTAGACCAAAATATGGCGATATGCCTCAATGAAATATTGCTGTGGAAAAAGAGAAAGGGTGTAAAATTCGATTTTTTTTTGCGAATAATTTCACTGTAAATTCATCAGTTGTTATCAATATCGGCACAGAAGCTTAATTTATACAGGAAATATTCTACTGTTATTTGTTACAGGGGCGCCACGCAAATGATTCCTGACGATGACATCGACTTTTTGACGAAACTTTTTAGTGATGTTGATTGAAAAATATGACAAACATATTTTCTACGCATTATTGGTACTTTAGTTTAAACACGATATTTTCACCCGTTTTCGAGAAAAATGTAATTGAACAGTTCAAAACATCGGAAGGGGATATCAAATATACGACAACAAAAGCCCCCATATACCAATTTTGAATATAATCGGACCATATTCACAAAAATCATCCGCCATTTTAATGCCACTTTCTTGAATTTCTCAATTTTGATGGGAGAATCATAATTTTCGACCCATAAAATCCCAGATACCAATTTTGAATAGAATCGGATAATAATTACAAAACTCGCCATATATTGGATCCGCCATCTAGAATTTCTCAAAATTGCCCATATAATCATAATCTCTTTCCCCGAATACCCCCAGACACAAATTTGGAATAAAATGAGATGATAATTACAAAACTCGTCCGCCGTATTGAAGCCGCCATCTTGAATTTTCTAATTTTGACAGAAGAATCATAATTGTCAAACTAAAAAAACCCTAGATACCAATTTTGAATGAAGAAAGCGTACCACACGTTAAACTGAACATGCAAAAAGTACCATTTTGGTACATTATTTCAAATCAGCATAAAACAAAATTCATATTGAATTGAATCCTCGGGAAATAGAAGGCTTGTTTTCATCAACATCAACAACATATATTTTAGTAATTAAAATAGTTTTTAAAACAAATTTCATTCACGTATCTATCCTTATGTTTCTCATAGATATGGAAACCGAGAGAATACAGAAGAGAACAGAATCACTGGTAGGGTATTCTGTGCAGAATCGCTGAATCGCCACTAGACGTGGAGATGGCGATCGCATACAGAACACAGAAATCTGTTTCGGATGAAGAGAAGTAGCACATCATCTGTCTAGGTCTTTCACTATACAATAGGTGGTCTGCTATAACTAATTATCCAACGGAAGGAAATGCCAATGATGATTGAATGGAATGTACATATAAATATTGTGATTTTATACATAGGAGCAGGAAAATGAAAATGTACCAAAAATGCCTTAAATTCAAAATATAGGACCACCGTACCAAACAGAATTAAATGAACCACCGCAGCAACACTGATTTTGGAGCCACAGTTGTTTTATTCTCAACAAAAATGGCATGATGCATTGTCACCAGAATTATGTACAACTGCTGTATTTCGAATCAATCAGACAATTAGAAGTGTCTCATATTCAACTTGCATAATTTGAGTACACACAGAAACCGGGACAGGTGAAAGCTTGTAAAAGTATCAATTATATAAATATTCAGAGCTTTATTCACATTAAGTGTCAGCTTGTAAGCCGCCAACCAGACAAATTGTTTGCATGTCTTCCAGAATGTTCAGGTTAAGATTTCATGTCTGATTATTCGTAATAAGAGTTGGTCATCGAACAACTACTTTGAGATAAGAAGGCTCACTCAGCGCGGATCTTTTGAAATAGCGCCACAGTATAGACCCTTACGGAAGGGTATATACTGTGGTAGCGCTAACATACCTCGCGACACGTCAAATATATATACGAGGTGTTCCATTCAAAAAAATTAAGTTACTAGGACTTTTTGATGGAAGCGGCAATGTCGCAATTTTGAAAATATTCTAGATCGATAGAACAGGTGATAAAATGTAAGATGCGAAGTTATCAGAAAAATCTTTCGTTGCGTTCTCCATAAACATCTTACCTACCATCAACCGTGAGTCACCCTGTTGTATATTGGATATTTTTCATTTTCATACCTGGAATTCAGCATTGAAATCGATGTAGTCTGGATTGTTCGGAATCCTGTTATTCTGTCGATTATTCATCCCCCTTCTACCACCTCTTGATCTGTCATTCCTATTTCTACCACCAGGGACAGGTCTTGAATGCCGTTCATTGTGGTTGTGCCCATTGAGTTCACGTTCTGCCCGCCAATCCTTGAAAAAAATAGAAAATATTTATTTTTCACCCTTAGCCGGTTTGGTGAAGATACTGAGTCCTTAGTACCCATATTTTCAGTACCCTTCTTTTTGTAAAAACTTCACAAACGATAAGATTTCCACAAAATTTATTAAACACACGACATGTTTCGCTAACACAGTAGCTTCGTCAGGTGATATACTGGTACAATACATCTGCAACAAAGTAGGACATCTGTCTCGAAAATGTCAGAATAATATGTCAAAGAAAACTGATGACAAGAAACCTAATTTTATAGGCGAAAAAGCATTTGTAGCATATCTTTTAACTGACAACAGAAATGTACATGAAAATAAGAGGTTCCTGGATTCATGTGCATCGACACATATCACCAATGATGTTGGATTGTTGAAAGATGCAGTTCCATACGCTATAAGATACGCCCTGTGCCCAAAAATCAGGAATTGACTACCAAGAAACTTTTTCTCCAGTAGTGAAATATAACTACTAATTTACAATTCAGATGAATAAATCCACGTAGATCCACCTGAATATGCAGTTCTCTTCGGTGAGGCTGAGAGAAGTGTATGGCGACTGAGAAAATCCATTTACGGACTTGAACAAAGTGGGCGATGTTGGAACAAGAAATTGCATCAGATATTGTCAGAGATTGGTTTAAGTCCGTCTATGGATGATCCTTGCATCTATTATTCGAACCCCAAGAAAGAAGAGGTTCTGATAATAGCTGTTTATGTAGACGATCTTTTGATTTTCACAAACCCAGAGAAGCAGAGAAGTATGATAAAAAGAAAACTGGAAGAACATTTCGAAATGAAGGATTTGGGCGAAGCCTACAGTTGCCTCGGTATGAGAATCACCAGAGACATCGAAGCAGGTAAACTGTGCTTGGATCAAGCAGAATTTGCCCAGAAGATTCTTCAAAAATTTAAAATGTCCGACTGCAAACCAGTATCAACGCCAGACCAGGATAAGCTGGACGAAGATTCTTCCTGGAAAGTACCCCATCAGAAAGAAATTGGCAGTTTGCTGTATTTGTCGCAGATCAACAGGCCTGATATCGTTTGGAGTTAGTTTATTAAGAAAAATTAACATCAATTATTCTAAAATTCACTGGGGTCAAGTCAAACGTATTTTCAGATACATTAAGGGTACTATCAACTTCAAACTTGAATTCAGTAGGGACAAAAATCCTGGATTAGAAGAATTTTGTGACTCAGATTGGGGAAACAAAATCAACAACAGATATTCAGTAACTGGATCTTGTTTCAGATTACAGGGGAGTTTAATATCATGGTTCAGTTTGAAACAAAAAACCATTGCCTTATCATCTACTGAATCTGATGTCGTTGTCATTCACAGTTCAAGAAGCTCTTTGGCTTAGACAATTGATAGAAGAAATTGACTCTCGAATAATTTCAAATCCAATAAATATTTATTGTGATAATACGGGAGCTATTTATTTAGCTAAAAACTCAATGACAAGTCAAAGATCTAAACATATTGATCTAAGGTTTCATTTTATTAGGGAACATATAAACAATAATGAAGTTATTGTGAAATATTTATCAACTGAACAAATGCTGGCTGATGTTTTAACAAAACCGTTAGTTGAAATGAAACATTATAGTTGCGTTAGAAATTTTGATTTAGTTAATTTTTTTCTTTCACGATTTTGTACCTGAAGCATTATTGAGAGGACATCTATTTATGTGGGGGTGTTGTAAATATAAATATATGTCCCTGTATGTTCTCGTTCATATCTATTAAGAATGCTATGAAGTATATTGATATGTTTTTTATTGTCAATTAAATAGGTAACAGTTGTCACGAATTGTCAGAAATACAGGGTGTTGCGAAATTCGACCGACAACGCTTGACAGGTGATAGCCCTCGTGATTTCATAATCACTGAGATAGGGACATACGGTCTTCAAGTGTTCAGTTCTCGAGATAAAGGGCGTTGAGGTTGAGAAATTAAAATAGTTTTTTCGCAATATCTCATGGTTTCATCTTTCAATTTTTTGATAAGAAAGACATTCCGAGAATTTTATCCAGAGGTGCGCTACAGAGATGTGATAACTTTTCCTCCCATATTTTCTACGCCACTGATGAAATTTCAATTATTTCCAATTTCTCGAATTGATTGTTCAATTATGTTAAAAAAATGCATCACCTTCAACTGAGTTAAAATGAACAGTTATCGAGAAATTTGACCCAAAATGGAAGTTTCCATAGTAATTTTTCATTTTCCTCAGTAGTAGAAAATTACAAAAAAATTTGTTTTCTCGTTATGTGTGGAATAACTATTTTTGTTGAGCTATAAATTGAAATTTGAATAGTATCTAATCTACTCAACACCAGAAAAATATTTTTGCAATTTTCTACTACTGAGAATGATGAAATATTACTATACAATCTTCTATTTTGGGTCGAATATCTCGAAAACTGTTCATTTCAGTTCAGTTGAAGGTGATGCATTTTGTGAACAAAATTGAAAAATTAATTAGAGGAATTGGAAATAATCGAAATTTAATCAGTGGCGTAGAAAATATGGGAGGAAAAGTTGCCACAACCCCCTGTCCGGAATGGCTTCCTGGTCAAAAAATGACCCATTCAAAGATAAAACCATATACCGAAGTTGAATGCATTATATTCAATTATTCTTGAGATATTGCTAAACAAGTATTTCTATTTCTTAACTTTAACGCCCTGTATCTCGAGAACTGAACACTTGAAGACCGTATGTCCCTATCTCAGTGATTATGAAATCACGAGTGCTATCACCTGTCAAGCGTTGTCGGTCGAAATTCGCAACACCCTGTATAGTTTATTCTGAACTTGCGTTTATCTCTCGAAAAACTCTATTTCCATCGAATAGGCTGGTATATGTAGGAATCATTGGGATGTTGGAGAACAATCTGAGATGCGTGTTACAGGATGATCGTTGTACTCCTTCCTGATGATGTTTCTAGAGCCCCTTTAAGGGAAATATCATTACATTGCCCCTCCTTGAAACGCATTCCTCCTGGAATGCACTCTGATCGTTATGGAGATAGAAACAACTGGTTTCATTTCTACAACGTGCAGTATGCTAGAAATAGCATGGCACTCTCTTCTCTCTTGGAGTTCCTTTGGAGTTCCAGCAGCATACCAGAATTTCAACTCCAGTGAATCTAAATACAACCTCCAGTAAGTTCCTTACAATTCTCCAACTATCTTCCGTATGTCCTTCTCGTGTATGGCGCTTCGTAAATCAATTAGTGTCTCCCAGAGGTCCTTGTGAGTTCGTTTCTCAGAAGATCTTCCTTTCGTTATAAGATAAAACAGAGACCTTCTTCCTTCAGGGCTGATATCTTCTATTTCCAGTGCTCGACCGACGGAGGGACCCTGTTGATGAAGCTCCTGTAACTTCCCGAATTTCCTCATGAACTTATTGGCTATTCCATGAGACATCTGAAGATCCTTAGCGACGCAGTGAGCTAGTATGCATTCTACAGGAGTGGCAAAAAGGTCGCGGAGCTCTTCCTTGGTGACGCCAAACCTTGCTTTTGATGAACCACTGTATGTCCCAACGAATTCGTCAAATGTGTGCTCCTTTTCTTCTGGACATACTTGTTGAACTTGTTGATCTTGTGTTCTCTCGAATGGTGCTAGTCTGTTGAAATGAACGACTCTTGGTATGCCACTGGGTACTTTACTGATGCGATAGATGATATCGTTGATCTTCTTGACGGTATACAGTCCTTCCCAAGATCTCTGTAGTTTTGGACAAATACCTCGTTTCCTTTGTGTGCGTATCCTGCATCCCCAGCTCTGATGTCGTATCGGTCTTTCATGCGATTGCTGGCGATTTTCAGATTAGAACGAACCAATCCGTGAATATCGTTCATCTTTTTCTCAGATTCCTAACGTAATCTTTTCCCACTATGTCCTCACCAGGTCTACATCCGAAGATCAAGTCACATGGAAGCCTCATCTCACGTCTAAATACTGCAGATCTGTAGGCCATCAAGAAGAAATGAAGATGTTGGTCCCAGTCTTGTTGGTGTTGGTCTACGACTTTGCAGAGATACCTCCCTATGGCTCGGTTCATTCGCTCCACCATGCCATCTGACTGTGGATGCAAGAAGTTGTTCTTGTCTTCCTGATTCCTTACTTCTCGCTCATCTTCTCAAACACATCACTCTTTAAGTTCCGGCCCTGATCAAAGTGAAGTGCCAATGGCACCCCAAAACGACTAATGAGTTGATTTATTAGGACATCGGCGACAGTTACGGCCTCCTGGTTAGGAATCGCATACGCTTCTACTCACTGGGTGAAGTAGTCCATGCAGACAAGGATGTATTTATTTCCATTATCAGTCACTGGAAGCGGCCCCGCAATATCCATGGCAATCCTCTAGAAAGGGCCTCCAACATTTTACTGTCTCATGGGTGCCCTTGGTTTACGATGAGGCCCATTGCTGGCAAAGCACACGGTGCATTTACGGCACCACTCCCTGACGTCGTCACTGCAGTTCACCCAGTAGAACCGCTCTCGTACCCGCTGCAATGTCTTCTTCACTCCTAGATGTCCCCCTAAAGTTCCACCATGTAAATATCCGAGTACTTTCGACACTCGGCTTCTAGGAATGACCAACTGCATCCGATTATCAGACCCATCATCGCTCTCGGGATTCCTCTTGAGCAGGTCGTCTTCTAATACCAAGGAGTCCCACTGACTCCAGTACGCCATCAAAGTCTGTGAAGATGGGGCTACTTCTTGCCAAAAAGGACGGCGATTCGCTTTCGAAGCTTCCGAAGCTCTGGGTCCTTTTCTTGCTCTTGCTTGATTGCTGCAGGTAACCAACCTTCATTGACAACGGTGGTTCTGTAGAGGGCTGCTTCCTTATCCTCCAAACGACTACAATGTGAGCACTCAGGTGGACATGGGCTTCCTGGAGCCTCTCGATCCAACGAGCTACATGGCCATCGGGGTTCTTAAAATTCAGAAGCCAC